ATGAAATGACAAGATAACTTTATTTTGGTGTAGAAAATTTTGAAAAATCTGCAGAATTTTATCATCCTATACATTTTCCATGAAGTTTTCAAAGCCTCCTTGTATATAGGGATTTCAGAATTTTCTTACTAAAATAAATTTATCAATAACTCCATGTTCCATGGACCTCTCGAAATACCCTTGCACATACTGATGGGCTACAGTGTGGTGTTTCGACGTGTGCATTTTATGTGGCATCTTAAAATGTATATATCAAAGTGGAGTCAAGTTAACGTGGTGTTCGTGCCTTGGTGCACATTTGCCTACCCCTCCAAGACCCTGGGAGAGGCTGCAAGGCACCACTCACACAGGCCTGGGAGCTGCACATTCCAGGCCAAGTCTCAGCTGCCAAACACTATGGAAGTCCTCTGAGAACAATTAGGATTTTTTACTAGATGCCTTCATGCCGTGCCCACTGGAAATGTGTACCTTGGCACAACCAGGCCTCCAGACTCCTGTCACCTTCCTACTGCAACTGGAATTGGCATCGCAGCCCCTGGAAAATGGGCTCCTCTCTTCTTTACATTCTGCATGAATCACCCGCTCTGTAGAAGAACAGGGCTTGCCTCCGAGGCCTGCAGACATAACAGACCGACCGCTTTTCCCGTCCGACTTTTCCCAGGGGCTGGTGGGGCACCGCGAATCCCTCCTCAAGCCGCTGTAAGTTTTCCTCTCCTCATTCTCTGCCCTTTCCAAATCATATTATTTCTTTGGATCCATATTTTTTTTAAGTTTCTGATACACTTTTACAAATATTCTCAAGTAATGTGCTCACTTGTGTGTGTGTGTGTGAGTGTATGTGTGTGAGAGAGAGAGAGAGATTTGAGGACCATGCTTGCTGATCATGTAGGATTAGATGAAACCTGATGGTCTCTCAGTGTCTTGGGCTCCCCATCACTTCCAGGATCCAGGGCGAGCTCATTGGTAATAATCAAGGAGGCCCCTTGTCAATGGGGTCCTGCTAACCTTGATGGCCTCCTCTCTCTCCTTTGTTACCTTTGCTCCAGCAATACTGAGAGGCCTGCAGTCCCTCAGAGAAACCACGCCACTTCACTCCCCCATGCATCTGCTCCGCTGTTAGCCCTGACCATAATGCCCTCCTCTCCCTTGTCACCGGGGAGCAGCTCCCTCTCTAACATCCAGGCCAGCAGGCACCTGCCCTGGGAAGATTTCTACCCTCTCTCAGAGTTACACTGTCCCCTGTGCTGTTTGGATGCTCTGTATCTGTCCCATTGCTTGTGTTTCCCCTGTCTTTTGTATTATATTTTATTTCCTTGCCCATCTTTCTGGATTGATGTGGGCTAGGGTTGTGTCTTTCTCATCTGAACTTCTAGAACTGATCACAGTGCTATTCTTGTAATCTCCAACCAAAACTCATCATGGGGGGCATGCATTGTGCAGTAGATTAAGCCTCTTCCTACATCAGAATGCCTGTTTGAAGTTCCAGCTGCTCAGCACTTCTGATCCAGCTTCCTGCTAATGCACCTTGGAAGGTAGGGGATAGTGGGCCAAATACTTGAGTTGTTGCCGCTCATGTGGAACACCGGGGTGGAGTTCCTGGCTCCTGGCCTTGGCCTGGCCCAACCCTGGCTGTTGTGGACATTTGGGAAGTGAACCAGTGGATGGAAGATCTCTTTTTGTCTCTCCTCTCCTCTCTCTCTCTGTCACTCTGCCTTTCAAATAAATAAAATGAATAAATCTTTTTGAAACCCCTACTGTAGAATTGAACTGAAAGGAGTACAAAGAGCATCTGATGTGAGACGTTCAGGCATTTCCCACACTACAGATTTTCTTCTCGGCAAACATTTCTTGAGCGGACCTGACCTGAATCTACTTGGCTTTAGGATACAATTACCATCTGTGTGTGAAGGAAAAAAAAAAAAAAGATGCAGCTTACCTAAGAAATACCTTATGCCAAAGCTCAGCACAGGACATGAAGCAAGGAGGTAGCAAGGGAGAATGGAGGAAGGAGAGAGAAGTGAGCCCGAGTGGAGTCCTCTATCCAGGGCCAGTCCTGCAGGCTTCGGCACCAAAGGGTCCGCTGAATCAGCCCACATCTCTCTGCTCGGTTACACCCAGCCCGATCCAGGCCCTGCTGTCTCTCCCCTGGACTCTGCGGCTGCATCTTCTCACTATCTCTACCTGTCCTGTAAATTCAAAAGTGGAAGCCCCAACACCCAATGTGGCGATACTGGGAAGTGGGGCCTTTGGGAAGTCATTAGGTCAGGATGAAATCATGAGGGTAGAGCTCCTCTCATGGGAAGACACCTTGGTTTGCTCTCTCTGGGCCAGTGCACGCACAGGAGGCCAGGCTGAGCACACAGCGTGGAGGCAGCCATCAGTAAGCCTGGAAGAGAATCCTCAGCTGATCTTGGACTTCCCAATCTCCAGAACTGAGACATGAGTGTGGCATAAGCCTGCCTGTCTATGGTATTTGCTGTAGCCACTCAGTCTAACTGAGTCATCGGCCCCCATTCTCCACCCAACAGCCAAGGTCACCTTTCACACAAATAAGTCAGGTCAGGGTGTGCTGGTGTAACGTCTCCATGGGCTCCCTGTCATTTGACCGTAACTCACCCTACAAAGATCTAATGTAATCTGCTGGTTGGGACACCTCGGTTTGAGCCCTGGCTCTGCTCCTGATTCCAGCTTCCTGCTACTGCATACCCTGGGAGGCACCAGGTGATAGTTTAAATACCTGAGTCTGCCATCCACGTGGAAGTACTGGGTTGAGTTCTCACCTTTTACCTGCCCAAGCCCCAGCCATGAAAGCATTTTAAGAGTAAACCAGCAGCTGGAAGAGCTTTCTTTGTCTTTCAAGTAAAATAGATAGGTGAATAAATCAATAAAAGTTGTTTTTTTTTTTTTATTTTTTGACAGGCAGAGTGGACAGTGAGAGAGACAGAGAGAAAGGTCTTCCTTTGCCGTTGGTTCACCCTCCAATGGCCGCCGCGGCCGGAGCGCTGCGGCCGGCGCACCGCGCTGATCCGATGGCAGGAGCCAGGAGCCAGGTGCTTTTCCTGGTCTCCCATGGGGTACAGGGCCCAAGCACTTGGGCCATCCTCCACTGCACTCCCGGGCCACAGCAGAGAGCTGTCCTGGAAGAGGGGCAACCGGGACAGAATCCGGCGCCCCGACCGGGACTAGAACCCGGTGTGCCGGCGCCGCAAGGCGGAGGATTAGCCTAGTGAGCCGCGGCGCCGGCCTTAATAAAAGTTTTTTAAAAGACACCTCTGCTTTGAGACCATCTTTGACTACTGTGTCTCAAGTTGCTCCATGTGGGTAGACATTTGGTACGGTGGTTAAGATGCCACTTGGAGCACCCACATGCCACACTGGAGAGCCTGGGTTTGAGTCCTGGCCCTGCTGCTGATTCCAGCGTCCTGACAGTGCTCGACCTGGGAGACAGAGGTGATGAGCATTATCTGCCACCCATGTGGGAGACCTAGACTGAATTCTAGGCTCTTGTCTTCAGCCTGGCCCAGCCCTGGCTGTTGAGGCATTTGGGGAGTGAACCAATGGATGGAAAAACCTCTCTCTGTCTGTCGCTCCCCGTCTTCGTGGAGGAACGACACAGGACCCTGCGCTGTTCTTTTGTCTGCTCGGCCCTCCCCGGGTTTGCTGCTGGTTCTTCCCGGGTTGGCTACTATCCCTTCCACCTCCGTGGAAGGGCGGTTCCCCCTGCCACATTCCCCACTTCCGCGGGGGAGCGGCACACCGCCGGCCGGCTCTCTCGGGGGCTGCACAGGTGTTCCTTCAGATGTTCCCCTTAGATGTTCCTGGTGCATGTTGTCTCTCTCCTCCTTTATAGTCCTCCTCTGCCGATCCCAACTCGGCTGCCCACATGCCGAGTTCGCTGCTCTCCTCCAATCAGGAGCAGGATCAGCTCCTGGAGGTCATCACTCAAGTTGGCAAGAGGCAGCTGTGTAGAAGCTGTTTTCTTCTCTCCCAGCGCCATATTGTGGGAGAGCAGATGCATAGAATAAGTCTTAATTCCAGTAACTTAGTCTAGTCCGAGTTGCTCCCCACACTGTCTCTCTCTACCTTTCAAGTAATTTAAAATTAAATAAAGCTGCTACACAGTTTCCATCATGTCACCTGTTTTACTTCCTCCATAGCACCTTTCAGGACCTGACACACCTTTTTGTCTATTTACTCAAGTAGCCTCCTTGAGAACAGGAACCTCACCTGTTTGTTTTAAGAGACAGAGAGGACAGAGACACACAGGGAGAAAGAGCTCCCATCCACTGTTTTTCTCCAGGCTGGGCCAGGCCAAAGCTGGGATCTGGGAACATAATCTGAGTCTCACATGTGGGTGGCAGGGACCCAACTACTTGAGCCATCTCCAATTGCCTCCCAGGATGTACATCAGCAGGAAGCTGGAATCAGGAGTGGGGCTGAGACTTGAGCACAGGCACCCCAATGTGGAACGCAAGCAGCATTCCCAAACAGCAGCTTAACCACTGGGGCCAGATGGCAGCTCTGACTCACCGGTTTTGTCCCCTGCTCTCTCCCTAGCACCTCAATAGGTCTGACTTGGGTGCTGCTCAGAAGTGATGGGTTACTGAATGACTAGACGTGTCTGGCACTGGCTCAACCTGCTCACAAACAGCATTTTCATGCAGTCATGTACAGAAAGGTTTCTTGCAACAATTAGTATGGAATTGCCAGTGATTTCCAAGATTTTGACATACCTGGAGGTGAGTTCATTCATCATTAGCTTCTTTGAAGTAGAAGGGAGTCAGAGTGTGTGACTTCATGCCCAGGTCCACATCAAAGTGTTCATGGATGAACGCAAGGGCAGCAACATTTCATGTGACCTTCAAATGAAAGATGCATGGAACTTCAAGGTGGAAGCATGCACTGGGGGGTGACAGTGCCCATTGGGGTCTGCACTGCAACTCTGATGTGCCCATAAATTGTGCGAAGGGTTATGCTCCCTAAAAGCATGTTTAGGCTTCTCTGCCTACCTCCTTTCTTTGCTGAAATGGTGAATGAAATTTCTGAAACACTGATCTCAGAAGCAAGATTTAACATGAAAGTTAAATAGTGCTTTTAGGACAGCATTGTCCTGTGGAACCTGGAATTTTCTTCAGATTTAGAAGTAGCACCAGACTGGGAATTGGACCCTGAGGTTTGAACCCAGACTCCAGTGCTCAGGAGTTGTGTGACTTTGGGCGGGACACTTTACTTCAACCTAATCCATTTTTCTCCTCTGTGAAAAGTGATGCTGTTCTATCCACTTCTATTTACCTTTGCTCTAAAAGTCAGAATTAACGGTGAGCATTTAGTCAAGAGGATAAGATACCTATATCTGTGTCACAGGACCTGGTTTGACTCCTACCTCCAGCTCCCAATGCAGCTTCCAGCTAAGATGCATCCTGGGAAACAGCAGGTGATGGCCCAGTAGTTGAGTCTCTGCCACCCCTGTGGGAGACCTGGATTGCATTCCTGGCTCCTGGCTCCTGGCTCCTGGCTCCTGGCTCCTGGCTCCTGGCTTTGGTTCTGGCTCAGCCCTAGCCATTGTGGGCATTTGAGGAGTGAGTCAGGAGATGGAGCGCTGCCTGTCTGGCCTGTTTCTCAAGTAACAAACAAATAACAAAACATATAACCTAATCCATCAAGATGCTCAGCCAAAATTGATCAGGGGCCAGCATTGTGTACAGCAGGTTAAGCCACTGCTTGTGATGCTGGTGTCCCATATCAGAGTGCTGGTTTGAGTCCCTGGTGCTCCCTTCTGGTCAAGCTCTCTGCTCAAGCAGCTGGGAAGGCAGTAGATAATTGTCGCTCCCCGTCTTCATGGGGGAACGACACCAAACCCTGCCTAGGCTTCATATCCGAGTCACGGCACCATTATGTCGCTCCCCGTCTTCATGGGGGAACGACACCAAACCCTGCCTAGGCTTCATATCCGAGTCACGGCACCATTATGTCGCTCCCCCTCTTCGTGGAGGAACGACACAGGACCCTGAGCTGTTCTTTCGTCTGCTCGGCCCTCCCCGGGTTTGCTGCTGGTTCTTCCCGGGTTGGCTACTATCCCTTCCACCTCCGTGGAAGGGCAGTTCCCCCTGGCCACATTCCCCACTTCCGCAGGGGAGCGGCACACCGCCGGCCGGCTTTCTCGGGGGCTGCACGGGTTCCCTTAGATGTTCCCCATAGATGTTCCCGATGCATGCCGTCTCTCTCCTCCTTTATAGTCCTCCTCCGCCAATCCCAACTCGGCTGCCCACACGCCGAGTACGCTGCTCTCCTCCAATCAGGAGCAAGTCCTACAGTTAATTGGTTGAACTGGAGGCAGCTGTGCGGAAGCTGTTTTCTCCTCTCCCAGCGCCATATTGTAGGAGAGCAGATGCATAGAATAAGTCTTAATTCCAGTAACAGTCTAGTCCGAGTTGCTCCCCACAGATCCCCCTTTCTTTTTATTTTTTTGGCGTTGATACGCGCCTGTCTTCGGTGTCCCGCGGCACACACTCTGCTCTACTTGCTAGAGTTGCCACAGGCTCTTACAAGTCCTATCAATCAGGAAAACCGAATCCGGGTCCTCTCTTCGCCATTGTGAGGAGGTTTTTAGGCGCTGATGCGTGCCTGTGTTCGGTGCCCTGCAGCGCATGCTCTGCTCTGCTAGAACTGCCTGCAGGTGTTTACAAAACCTATCAGGCAAACCGAATCCAAGCCTTCTCATTGCCGTATTGTGGGGGAGACTTATTAGTGTTGGTTCGTGCCTATCTTCGGTGACCTGCAGCTCATACTCTGGTCGAGCTGCTTGCTGGCGCTTACCGCCTTAAATCAGGCAGACCGAATCCAAGCCTCCTAATTGTTGCATTGTGGGGAAGCTTTACTGATGTTAATTCGTGCCTGTCTTCGGTGACCTGCGGCGCATAAGCTGCTAGCTGCCCGCAGGTGCTCATCGCCTCACTTGATTAGGCAGACCGAATCCAAGCTCTCACATTGCAGTGTTGTAGGGAGGCCTTTTTATTTCTCTATTTCTCTATCTCCGGGCATTCCTATTTCTCCCATTTTACTTCTATCTTCCAGCATTCCTATTTTTCTCACTTTACTTCTAAACTTCTGTTTCTCTTATCCCTGCGGCTTCCCGGCGCCTCGCCCCACCGGCGGGCTCCGCCCCTAGGCTGCTTCTCGGCGGCTCGCCCCGCGGCAGCTTCACGGCTCTGCGCGGCTTCCCGGCGCCTTGCCCCGCCGGCGGGTTCCCGGCTCTGCGCGCACGCTCCGCGGTCTCCACGCACTTCGCGCCCACACCACGGCCTCGCGCCAACGCCCCGTGCTCTCTCTGCACGCGGCGGCTTCCGCGAATGTTTCCGCCACCACCGGCATTCAATCCAAGTTCCCCGGACTAACCTGGCGAATCCTGGCGGCCCACGTCTCTGCCTCTGGTTCCAGATCTTCGCCTCTCGCTCCCCAGGGTGACTTGAAGAATTCCAAGATGGCTTGGCCTGCACTCGCGGCTTCATCCTCCCTAACATTTTTCTCTACCCGGTATGTTTCCTTAAGTTTTCTTCCAACAATATTCCTCTCATTTCTCCTGGCTTCTCCCCACAGTCCGTATCCAAGTCTAAGTTTCTTATAGGTTTCACTTTCACTTTCAACCTGCAGTCCGTATCTAAGTCTAAGTTTCTTCTTGCTTTCACTTTAAATCCTAACTTCTTTCCCACAGTCCGTATCCGAGTCCAAGCCTCCTCCAGGTTTCACTTTCGCTTTCAATCCTAACTTCTTTCCCACAGTCCATATCCGAGTCTATGCCTAGGCTTTCAATAGCTTCTTCCGGCACCTAGGCTCTTTGCTAGTCTCTCTCTCCGGTATTTTCCCATTTCTTTCCTCCTAAGTTTCATATCCGTCCTAAGTTTCCTATCCAAGCTAGGTTTCCTATCCGTCCTAGGTTTTCTATCCGAGTCACGGCACCATTATGTCGCTCCCCGTCTTCATGGGGGAACGACACCAAACCCTGCCTAGGCTTCATATCCGAGTCACGGCACCATTATGTCGCTCCCCCTCTTCGTGGAGGAACGACACAGGACCCTGCGCTGTTCTTTCGTCTGCTCGGCCCTCCCCGGGTTTGCTGCTGGTTCTTCCCGGGTTGGCTACTATCCCTTCCACCTCCGTGGAAGGGCAGTTCCCCCTGGCCACATTCCCCACTTCCGCAGGGGAGCGGCACACCGCCGGCCGGTTCTCTCGGGGGCTGCACGGGTTCCCTTAGATGTTCCCCATAGATGTTCCTCGTAGATGTTCCTGGTGCATGCCGTCTCTCTCCTCCTTTATAGTCCTCCTCCGCCAATCCCAACTCGGCTGCCCACACGCCGAGTACGCTGCTCTCCAATCAGGAGCAAGTCCTACAGTTAATTGGTTGAACTGGAGGCAGCTGTGCGGAAGCTGTTTTCTCCTCTCCCAGCGCCATATTGTAGGAGAGCAGATGCATAGAATAAGTCTTAATTCCAGTAACAGTCTAGTCCGAGTTGCTCCCCACAATAATGACCTAAATATTTGGGTCCCTGCCACCCGCATGGGAGATCCAGTTGGAATTCTTGACTCCTGGCTTCAGCCTGGCCCAGCCCTGGCTGTTGTGACCATCTGGGGAGTGAACTAGCAGATGGAAGATTTCTCTCTGCCTCTCTCTCTGTCACTCAACTAAATAAATCTTTTCAAAAATCAATCAATTAAATCATTAAAAAATACACTAGGAACCAGTTTTGTGGCATAGCTGGTAAAGCTGATGTCTGAACGCCTACATCCCATATAGGTGGTGGTTCGAGTCTTGGTTGCTCCACTTCCAATCCAGCTCCCTGCTAATGGCCTGGGAAAGCAGTGAAAGATGGCCCAAAGTGTTTGGGCCCCTGCCACCCATGTGGGAGACTCCGATGAAGCTCCTGGCTCCTGGTTTCAGCCTGGCCCAGCCCTGGTTGTTGTAGCAATCTGGTGAGTAAACCAGCAGATGGACTATTCTCTCTGTGTGTCTTCATCTCTCTCTCTCTCTCTGTAACTCTAACTTTCAAATAAATAAATAAATAGCTCCAAGACTTTGGGCAAATCACTTAGCTTCTCTGTCCCTCAGTTTTCTTACCCATGGCATGGGGATAATAATAATAAAAAAAAGCTTTCTTCATGGAATTACATTATAAGATCATCACATGAACTCAGTGGTATCCTTGGCACTAAGCACTTGAGGAACAATAGCCATGATTACCATTATCATACATGCAGCACATGTTTCTTGTATGAAGTCCTGCAGTACAGTGAAAGGTGGAAGAGCTCCCCAACTCCACCCTGGTAATCTTAGCCCCACAGACAGGGCTACTACTGGTTCAGTGACCCTTCCAGCCATTTTATGGAACTTAAACATGTTTAGTAACATGAGCAGAATCATACCACATAGACTGTTCTGCAAGTTTCCTTTTCCACACAGCCATCTATCATGCTTACCTGTCTGTGTCGACAGATATTACTCTACCTCATTCCTTTAACACCTGCCTAGCATTTCAGTTTATGGAACCACTGTAATTAATTTACTCAGCACCCTATTGGGGGCCACTTACATTCTTTCAATTTCTCACTATTATAAACACCGTGCAGCAGGAGTAGACATTTGCTGCAACAGGTAAGATACCACCGAGACACCTGCATCACACATTAGAGTCCATGGGTTCAAGTCCTAGCTCCTCTCTCAATTTCAGCACTTTGAGGGGCAGCATTGTTGGCTCAAGTATTTGGGTTCCTGCCACCCATGTGGGATGCTTGAATTGAGTTCTCAGTTCCCAGCTTCTGGCTGGCCCAGCCCTGGCTGCAGTGGCATTTAGTAAACCATGCTTGAGAGAGCTTTATCTGTCTGGCTGTCTCTGTCTCTCTGCCTCTCAAATAATGAGAGGAATTTAAAATAATAAAATAAACACTGTGCTGTGACCATCTCAGATGTGTGACTGTGCACACTTGTTATAAGGCATCTGTAGGATAAAGTCTTGCATAGCACATGCAGGCCACACCTGTAAAGAATATTCACGCTGATGTGCAGGGACCTGAGTTGCACATCAGAATTTTTGGTTCATTTCATGCCACCATTGTTGATCCTCGCCCTCTTGGATTTTATTTGTTGATCTATGTGTGATAACAGATGAACAGAATAATCACATTTTAAAGTGTCCTAGTTGCTCTCTGGACAGATAGCAGGGATCATACTTGTTGGATAGGATTTAAACAGGCAAGGAAAGGTAGGAAGCGCTGCTCTCAGGAGGGGACTGCTCTGGGCACTCTGGGGGGCTGTGGAGGTCCCCGGTGAAGATCCCAGTCACACTGAGAACAGGGTCTCTGTATGGATGCTGTGGGATAGAAAGCCAATGCAAGACCGAGGAGCAAAGGTAAGGAACTAGGATCCAACAGGATGAATCACGTCACAGAAGAGGCCTTTAAAAGACCCACCTGTGGAAAGTGGAATTATATTACTGCAGTCACTCTAGCTTCTTATCCTTAAGACACCATGTATTGGTTAGGGGAGAATAGGTTAGGCTGCAGTAAAAAAGTAATCCCCAAATAGTGGCTTTAACCAATCAAAGCCTACTTCTCACTCAAGGGGCTGGGAATGAGTGGTCTGGTCATCATTTAGGTGAGTCAGTGAGGAATGCAGGCTCATGGAACAGGCAGCACCTCCAATGTCATTGGCTTCCATGCCAGAGAGGAGAGCACCAAGAGGTCTTGGATTTCCTGTTAGATGCTTCAGCCAGCAAGTGCCATGCTTTGCTGCCTTCATGGCTCATGGGCAGGACTAGTCACCTGACCCCATTTAACCCCCACCAAAGAGGACCAGAAGCGTGATTGCATCACGTGACCCAAAAGGAAAAGAACTGAAAAAAATTGGCAGACATCCTATTATCCATCTCCTTTCCATGGTCTCAAATAGGTGTCTCAGAAAACCCTATGGTGCTGGGCCGTTCGCCTGGTGGTTACAAATGCCCACGTCCCATTAGGGAGTACCTGGGTTTAATACCTGACTCCAGCTCCTGATTTCAGCTTCCTGCCAACGCAGACACTGGGAGGCAGTGATGATGAATCGAGTAATTGGGTTCCTGCCACCCCCATGAGAGACCTGGGTTGAGTTCCCTGGCCCTTCAGCCCAGGCCCAACCCCAATATTTGTGGATATTTGTGGGCGTGAGAATTCTATTTATCTCTGCCTCTCAAATACATAAATACAAATAATAAAAACAAAAACCCCATGAAAATTAAGAGAAGGGCCAAGCATTACTTTAAAATACTGATTGCTAGGGAAGTTGGTGGAAGAAATGTTCTAGAATATTCCCCTCTCCCAACCTCAACCCCCCAGTTATCATAGTTTACAGCAAACCTTTCTGTAGTTTAGTAACAATCTTCTAGCCCTAATTCCTGTCCCATTAATTTTGGATAGAATTCAATCCAGAGAAATGACACCACCAAGAAAGTTTGAGAGCCCTTTAATAGACATGATTTGAAAAACCTTACATAGAAATCAGTCACATTGTCACCTGGTAGAGAGCCTGCTTTGTTCCTGCCAACGAGTCCAGTGTCACTCATAACCCCTTGATGTTTGCTTCTTTACTTTCTTTTCTTAACTCTGAATACGTTTATAATTTCACCATGCAAAATCTCCTTTCCTGGTGCATTTCTGTTCCCCAGGCAGCAGCAACCTTTGAAACACTGACAATCCTACACCTTTCCGAATAGTGCTTGTGCACAGAATTTCTGAACAAACTAGGATCTGTGATGATGACCTTTCTTGCACTTTTATCACTGCTTTCATGGGAGAGCTAAAGACTCTCTATAAATATTAATTAAGCCTCACAACCCCTCTATGCAATACAGAGGGGCAAGGGGAAAGTGCAAAGATGGAAATTAATGACGCCAAGTATGTGATATAAGCCAAAAGTGATACTTCCACTTGGCATTTTTCATTTTCGTCTTTGTGATGTAGATGTGACCAGTGAATATTCATGTTGGAGACCCATGTGGTTTCCCTGCTCCCTTTCTTCTCTGTTTGCAGGTCTGAGCTCTCAGCACATGTCCACCGGGCCTGTTCTGGGCCCTCTGGACTTCCTGCTAGACTGCAGGAAAGGCCTTCCCTTTGGGCCTGGAGCCACCCTTCACTTCCCTTCCGCTAAGGAGAAAAGAGCCAGCTTGTCCCTGGGATGATCTAACTACACAGTCACACAGTGGAGAAGGGACTCCATGTGGTTGGTAAGTGATCCTGGTCAGTCATTGACCCAACTTGATTCTATTATCGGATGAGCACCCCTAATCCAAAAATTTGAAATCTGAAACATTTTGAGTACTGACATGAATCTACATTGGAAAACTCCACACCTGACCACAGGGGATGGTTCACAGCCAAAGCATAACACTAAGGACAGGCATTTGGCCTAGTGCTTAAGATGTCAGAAAATGTATGCAGTGCCTGGGTTCGATTTCTGCCTCCGCCTCTGGCTCTTGACTTCAGCTTCCTGCTAGTGCAGACCCTTGGAGGCAGCAGTAATGGCTCAAGAGATTAGGTCCCTGCCACCCACGTGGGAGACCTGGATTAAGTGTCTGACTCCCAGCTTCAGTCCTGGCCCTATCCCAGCTTTTGTCGGCATTTGAGAAGTGAAGCAGCCAATGGGAGCTCTCTGTCTCTCCAATAAATAAATAAATACTCTTTCTAAAGTAATAAATGTATTTATATGCTACTGATAAGCATATCAGTTCAGAGTGAGGAGTGATGGTGATGGTAAGCAACCTCAGACTGTGCACAGGTGGTAACATGTTTTTTTTTTTTTTTAAGGAGTTGTTTATTTATTTGAAAAGCAAAGTTACACACAGAGAGATGGAGAGGCAGAAAGAGAGAGAGAGAAAGTCTTCCATCTGCTGGTTCACTCCCCAAATGGTCGCAAGCTAGAGCTGCACTGATCCAAGAGCCAGGAGTTTCCTCCAGGTCTCCCATGTGGGTGCAGGGGCCCAAGGACTTCAGCCATCTTCCACTGCTTTCCCAGGCCATAGCAGAGAGCTGGATCAGAAGTGGAGCAGCCGGGACTCAAACCAGCGAATATATGGGATGCTGGCACTGCAGGTGGCAGCTTTATCCCCTATGCCAGCGCTGGTCCCCCACCATTACTTTCTGATGTTTCAATGCACACAAAGTTGCACACAATTATTTACAATGCCATATAAAGTTACCCTTTAGTTATATGTATAAAGTGTATAAAAAATTGAAAATGGATTTCATGTTTAGACTTGGGTCCCATCCCCAAGTTATCTAATTAGGTATATTCAAAGATTCCAAAATATAGAAGGCTAGTATAGTGATGCTGCAGGTTAAGCCACAGCTTGCAACACCAGCATTCCATATCAGAGTGCTGGTTTGAATCCCAGCTGCTCCACTTCTCATCTAGCTCCCTGCTAATGCATTTGGGAAAGCAGTAGAAGATAACTCAAGTACTTGGCTTCCTGCCATCCATGTGGGAGACTCAAATGAAGCTCCTGGCTCCTGGCTTCAGGCTGGCCTTGCCCCAGTCATTGCAGCCATTTGGGGGTGAAACAGTGGATGGAAGATTTCTCTCTCTTTTTCTCTCTCTCTCCCTCCTTCCCTCCCCTCTCCATTACTCTGTCTTTCAAATAAATGTAAAAATAAATCTTTTTTTTTTTAAATTCCAAAACATGAAAAGTCATCTGAAATCTAAAACACTTCTGTTCCCAAACATTCTGGATAAGGGATACTCAACCTATACTGTATTCTGACCTATCCCAGGCAAAACCTCCTCCTCTGGTACTCATGGTGTAGCTCTGAGGACTCCATTTTACCTGTAGCCCATTCCCTCTTGGGCATGATGGGGAGGGGTCATTTGAGAGTTCTTGGGAGTTGAGGACCTCTAGATGTGTGACTGATGTGTCCATGAGGAGGGTGCATGGCCAGCATTCCAATAAAGAAGACATGAAGGTTGCTAAAGCCGCCCTGGCCTGGGAACTGAGGAGAGGCCTGGGAATCTGGAAAAGCAGGCAAGTACCCAAGATCAGGGTGAAGTCAGAGGTTAGGAATGGAATACAGGACAGGATAACCCATATAGACCACAAGACCAGATCTGCGGGAAATAGTCCAGAGTTCTTCAACGTGGAGAAGCAATGGGACTCCCTGTAGAGGCCAGAGCTGTGTGATCAAGGAGAGCTTGAGATAGGCGTGGGGCTTAAAACTCTGTTGTTCGGGGTAAATCTTGAGTGCTTCCATTCAGCCTTCAATTGCTGACACAAAGGATTTTTCTGCCATGGCATTACCACCCTCCAGCCCCTGTGGGGACTTCCCCATGTGGTCAGCCCAACATGCTGACCACATGCTAATTAGTCCCACTGTGACATTGCCATGTTTGGGGACATAGACTGTTGTTACTCCTGCTAAGTGGTCAGCGAGGAAAACACCAACAGCTGCCCGAGGAAGTCCTCATCAGAGGTCAAAGGACAAGGTCACTAGTGTAGCCCCTGGGAATGAGTGAACTCCAGGCTCTGGGGGTGCATCAGAGGTGGCCCGGAGGGGAGGTGCTGAGTCCCTGCAGATCTTAACCCTCGTGTTCCAGACCCCACCAAGTTTTCTTTTCTCTTTGGGCTCCCCCTGATTCTTGAAGCTCAGGGGGTGCAGCTGGTGAAGACTTCTGTTCTTACGACATTTCTGCCAAACTGCGTGTCCTTTCTGTGAAACTTTGCCACTTCCCTAACAGGCTAAGCCTTTGAAACTCTAAAGTCAGGAAGAGTCTTTTCCTGACCCTGTTTTCCACTGTAACATCCTTTCCCGGAGGCCATCGGCGTAGAGGAGCCCCAGCATCTTCAAAAGGAGTAGGCAGGAGGAGATGTCCAGGAGAGCAGGGAAACCTTGGGGTGGGGAAAAGCATGTAGGAATGGTAAAGTATTTGCTTCCCACAAATCCAATTCCCAAGAGACTGATCTAGAGTTGGCTGTCTCACTTGGGTGGAAACCTTTTTTTCTTTCAAGATGATTCTTGGCCAATCTATTGGACTTGTGTTTCTGGAACATCAGTTGGGGACCACAGGACGAGCACAGGGTGTGGGGATGGCTCTCACCAAACACAGCCAAGGGATGGAGGTGCAGGGAGGTCTGGGCCCTGAGCACCCGCCGAGAAGAGGGGCCTGGAGAGTTTCTCCCGTCAACAAAGAACAGAAAGAGCCGGCCAGTGCCTCTGTGAACAGTGGCTGAGAAGAGCTGGGTTTCCACAACAAAACAAGCACACAGCTCAGCCTCCTGATCCGATGCGGGATAATGTGGCCTGGGAAAAGCGGGACCCACCTGAGTGGAATCAAATTGCTTAGTGCGATTCTTGTGCTCTTGCGGGTGGTTAGAAATGGACTTTCATGGCCCCACCCCGTAACTGTGTGTCTTCTGAGTCTCGGCTCCAAAAGGAAGGGTTAACGTGGAACGGGAAGGCCCTTTACATTCTGAAACACTGTGGAATATAAAACTCCTAAGTTGTAGCTTTGTCTGTAGGCAGTAAAATGACAGATGCCCTCAACGATAGAATCCTTTTGTGGAGTTGCCTTCACGTGAGATGTGATGTCTAGACGGACCCGGATTCTTGTCTGAGTTGGCTGAATGGGGTTAAGAGGAAAGTACTGGGTTGACTACAAATGACACTAGAATTCTTGCAACAGGGCCTTAGCTTTTGCCTGGATCCTACCTTACCCTGCCTGAAACACGTGCTCTTGACAGCTGTGCATGGGGACTTTTTTGCTCTCCATGAAAAGATTTCAATCCTCGGAGCGTCTATGCCGTCAACAGCACACACCGCACCTCACGTGCACACACACACACACACACGGACACACATACCACACTTACGTGAACTTACTGGAGTGCGTCAAGGCCCACAGTCCCCAAAGGTGCTTTACCAAGTGGTGGGTGAGAAGACAGAGCAAAGCTGAGACTCTGAGCTGGCTTACAGCCGCTGCAGTCCCAAGGAGCTTCATTTAAATTTGATTCACTTGCAGCTCTGAAAGATGTCATTTGTGTCAATGCAGGACGCATTCGATTTGGGGTGAGCGGAAATGTCCCCAGCTTCTGGTGGCAGCGGATACATCTGAAACATGGAATCCAGTCAATTTTGCTCCCAAGAGGGACAGGTGGAGGACTCCCATTTCCTGCCAATTCTGTTGGAAACAATGAGGGAGTGAAAAAAAAAAATGGAGCCCTCCCTTCTCTTTCTGGCCTTAGACATGAACTCTTGATAAGATCCTGGAAAACAGGCAGCATTTTTTAACAGCCATTGCCCTCCTCAGCTGAGAAAACAGCACGAGCCAAAGGAGGACCCGGGGCCACCTCTATTGTGACTGTGGCCAGGCGGACTCACTGTCGCCAAACAGCGGAGCCCGCAATGACTGAGATAAGGAGCATAATAACATTTTCACATGAACCCGACATTCTTACCTCTTCTATAGGAAAGGATATCCCTGCAGGAAGGAGGAAGGTGGGGCCCTGCCCATGTCCTACGGCAGTGCTGGGACTGCATTGTCCCAGCCTGCGTAGGGACACAGGAAGAGGGTACGGAAGTTTCAACAGGAAAACAGAGAAAAGTTCAAACGTAAACAGCATCCAAAAAAAATTCACCAATAGCATAGTAGGTTTCCTCTGTGGGCTTCCAGGCTTCCACGTCCCCCTGGCCTGGCAGAATGTAAGCTGGGGTTCTGTTCACCTTGGCAACCTCCAGCGTGCGTGACTATGCGGATCCCCTGCTGAATCAGTTAAGAGGATGTGTTTTCGATGGCACTGGAGACAAAAACAACCTCTATGCAGAGACTGTATCCTGGCCTGGCCGGAGTCTGATCCGTCTTTTCCATGTGTCATCTCTGGGGCGGGCATGGGCTTCCCTGAAGTCCTGTGTGAGGCAGGGCAGCTCCCCTCGGGAGGTTTGGACTACAGCTCAAGAGGCTGGGTCACAGCTTCCCACAGTAAGGCAAGGGTTTGGGTTGTGCTCCCTTGTTTTGCCTGGAGATGCCCTTTGAGAAACTCAGTCCTAAGGGATGCGAGAAGGGTCGGATTCCCACTCCACCCCAAAGATCCAGCGAGGGCTGGATGTTTCCTCGCCCCAAAGCCCCTGCTGTCTGCTGCAGTAGCCCCCAGGGCTTGAAAGAGGCTGCCACGGAGCCTCTGGTTTGAGAGTAATGGAAACCATGACCAAAACAAGCAGAACCAATTCCATGGTGAGATCTGAAGGGGAAAAGCCAAGGTGAAAAAATAAGAGAGCAGCTTTGGGAGATTCTCTCTCTATGCCTGGCCCTTGGGAACTAACCGTTGTCTCACTTTGCCTCAAGCTGCATAGACGGGTGGCAAAAACATGATAGAAAGATGTTCTCAGGGCCCCTGGTGCGAGGCCTGAGGGTGAAGATGTTCCCACGGGCAGCGGGTGAAAGGTGAGCTTCTCTCCACTTTCCCCCTGATTGAAAGACCTCACAACTCCACGGAGGAACTACAGAAGCCACTTCCGACCTGGTTCTAATGGGGGCTGCCAGGCGCTAAAAGCCACATCAGTTGCTTCTGAGATGGAGCCAATCATACCTTTCAGGAGCAAACACGGTTAATAGACAAGCTGCCTAGATGCTGCCATTATGGGGCACTAAGGCCCCCTCGGCCCCCTCGGCCCCCTCGGCCCCCTCGGCCCCCTCAAAATAGCTCTTAGGCTCAGGTGCCTTTCACAGCCCCTCCAAGGAGGGAGATGGGACCGCTCTAGCTTTATAGAGGACATCTTTCCGAATTCCTTTTTCCAGAACAAATGGCTTCCGTTATGTTCAGCCAGGGATCAGTTCTTCACTTAAGGCTGTAAAACAAAATAGGACTGCTTCTCCGGATGTGTTCCTCACGACAGAAAGCTTTTGTGACGGCTGTTCCAGACGGGTGCTTGAGACGCCTTATCTAAAAGCCCAGGCTCAAGGAAGAGGGGGACCTTGATTTCTGCCTGTGGTGAATGCAGAGGGCTCAGCCTTGTGTGGGGCAGATTGCACTTTCCGGAACCAGGACAGCAGGAACTCACGTGTGCAGCCCACATGCATGCGACCGCTGTTGCTTCTCTCCTCACATTCGTGCGTGGCGGTATGCATTCATTTAGACAAGGTGCCAGCCAGTGGGTGGCACGGCCAGGACAATCAGGGGTGTTTCTCGAAACAGCTAACGGTTGACCCTAATCCGTCCGGGCAGGATCTTGGGTACCTGTCCTCCTATGCCAGATAGTTGCCCTTGAATCATTTGATGCATTTTAAGATGTCGGTAGCCACTGTAGCCACACCCGAGCCTGCCAGCTGGCCCACAACCCTGAGGACATTGCTGCCAGTCTCCAGAAGCCAAGTTTCTGAGGCCTATTGTTCTTTAATTAGGGGCTAGTACCAAAGTTTCAGACTGCCAGAGCCTAAAGAGTTACCGGGACCCAGGGGGTTCTTAACTCACAAAAGGGAAGCAGCATGCATGAGTAGGAGCCCTTGCAGGCCCAGGCTGAGTACTAGGGAGCCCAGAGTGAGTTAGATTAAGGAGGATGAATCAGCTTGTGCCAAACTGTACATCTCCTCCCTCTCTTATTCCGCTCTTATTTCTAACAGGGTTCAGTTTTCAGTTGGCTTTAAACTCCTAAGAATAATTGTGTGTTAATTAAAGAGTTCAAGCAATGGTATTAAGTAGAAAAAGAAAATACTACAAAGAATAAAATAGAAAGCTGTTCCTCGACAGTCAGGACAAGGGCTGATCAAGTCATTGCTTCTCATAGTGTCAGTTTCACTACAGGTTTCCTTTCAGGTGCTCAGTTAGTTGTCACAGATCAGAGAGAATATATGATATTTGTCCCTTTGGGACTGGCTTATTTCACTCAGCATGATGTTTTCCAGATTTCTCCATTTTGCTGCAAATGACCAGATTTCGTTTTTTTTTTTTGGGGGGGGGGGGGACTCTAAATCCCATTAAGTTGGCAGGTACCAATGCCATCTTACTAGTTAAAGTGATTAGTTTAAGTTCATAATTGATTATAAATATAGGATTAAGTGTCAAAGGGATCACATAAATAAGACCAGTGTCTACTAATAATAATTGATAGAATTAAAAAAGAGAGAACAACCCAACATGGGAAGCAGGATACACAGCAGACTCATAGAATGACAAATGCCCTAAACAGCACTCTGGCCTCAGAATCAGCCCTTAAGGCATTCAGATCCAGCTACAAAGCCCGTGAGAGTTTCTCAGGCATGGAAAGCCAAGACACTGTGGCAAAAAAAAAATGACCTAAATGAAAGATCTCTGTGAGTGAGAACCTAGCGGAAAGAATGGGCCATTAAAGAAGGAGGTACCTTTCTCTGAAGGGAGGAGAGAACTTCCACTTTGATTATGGCCTTGTCTAAATGAGGTCAGAGTTTGTGAATTCAAGAGGCCTCCATAGCCTTGCAGCTCATGACAAGAGCCTCGGGTGATTACTGACGTCATAAATAAGAGTGTCAATTGTTAAATCAACAAAAGGAATCACTGTGCATTTACTCCCCATGTAGGATCTCTGTCCTTAATGTGTTGTACTATGTGAATTAACGGTATAACTAGTACTCAAACAGTACTTTATACTTTGTGTTTCTGTGTGGGTGCAAACTGTTGAAGTCTTTACTTAGTATATACTAAGTAGATCTGCATATAAAGATAATTAAAGATGAATCTTAATGAAGAATGGGATGGGAGAGGGAGTAGGAGATGGGATGGTTTGTGGGTGGGAGGGTGGTTATGGGGGAAAACGGCTATAATTCAAAAGCTGTACATTTGAAATTTATATTTATTAAATAAAAGTTTTCTTAAAAAAAAAAAAGGAAGGTGAATCAGGAGAGGGACAGGCCTGGCTCCCTGAGCTCTGTAATACATGGCCCAGGAAGGATGTGGCCTCTGGCTGTGGGGCCCAGCCTGCCATGCTCTGTGAGCAGGGAGCCATTGAGCAGGGGTCTCTAAAACAGCCCAGCAGACAACTTGGTTCTAAGCTCCATCTCAGTGTCTGGGACTCACCTGATGCTCAGATCCTGATTTCTTCTGTCTCCATGGAGACTTCTAGGCCTGGACTCTTGTTCTTTCTTCCCCACATTACCTTCCCAGAAAATGAATCTGGCTTCATGGTACCTACACCTGCCAGGCAGCTCCTGGTTAGACTAATCCAGCCCTTGTCCCTGGGCTCTAATGTTCTGCACCTTCTTTCTCCTCAGCCTTTGTCATCTTCATTCATTCATTCTGCGTTCATATATTCATTCAATAAATATTTAGTCAGCACTTACCATGGCCAGGTACTCTGCTAGGTGCACCAGTAATTAATGATTTGGGTATTTATATGTCTGCATGAATTCAGATGCCAAATCTGTTCAAACCATAGAAGATATCAAGGCCTTCACCTGGTAACAAAATACCTAAATTAGAACAACTGTAGCATTTGTGAGGGGGTTTGCCATGTTTCAGGCACTGTTCTTGGGATTTTACAACAACTCAAGAGAAAGTTACTTATCCCCCACTCTACAAATTAGAAAACTAAGGCTCAGAAAGGTCAATTTGCAAGTTTGGGGAGAACAAATGTCTTTTAATAGTTGAATCTGCAACTTATTTGGTTTGGGTGCTCCTACATTCAGGGCTGTAAGCAAAATATTTAACAACTCATATGGTGTGGGCACCAACCAGTCAGAACAGATGCCCAGCCATGTAGTGAACCAGGGTCTGAGCACTGAAGCCCCTGGGTGAAGATGGTGTGGCCAAGTGAGCGGTGGATTGGCCATGATGGCATCTACTTACGGACTGGTGCAGGGTTTCAGCCAGACAGTCGTGCTGCCCAGGTGAAATGGAAAAGCCCCCTCCTACTAACTGGTGCATAGTTGTGTTCATTGGCAAGTTGAGGAGTTACAGAGGGTTAGATGACCTTAACATGTGCTCCAAAGTATTAGTATGCTTGGGAATATGCGGAGATGTGAGTATGATTTTGTACAAACCTTCTTAGCTCACCAAAGCTTGCTTTCTTTCTGGATTCTAGACCAGAGTACCAAAACTGTCTTATTGTGCAGTGATTTCTCACTTCACATAATATAAGGTGACATCTTGATAGCACCAAGTATAAGCCAGATGTGTATATGGCTTTATGCATATTAACTCTCTTCATGTCAAGCCTATGAGGTAGATACTATTCTATTCTTCTCCATTTAGGAGGCAAGAACACCAAGGCACAGGGAAGGTGATGCAGCTGATTAATAAATGGCAGAGGCAGAATTTGAATCCAATGAAACAGGCTCCAGGGCACTAGTTCCTAACTATAATGCTTCTGTCTATGCTTCTCTGTGTCTCTGGTATGTTTGAATTATTTGCTGACATTTACAAATCAAGAAAGGTAACATAAAAATCCAGATGTTTAGCATCTCAGAATGAAAATTCAGGAACTTGTTAAATAAATAAAAATAAATAAACTTTAAAAAATCACAATGGGATAAAAACATTTTGTACAATATTGAATTTTTATAGGAAACTATAATTGTAAGGAATTTCATTTAATATCAGGTTGTTTTCTTTTTAGACAGAAATTTTACGTTTTATGTGATTTGGGTTTGAGGCAATCAAGGATTTCCTTTCCAATTGTTACAAGTTTTCTCCAGGAGCTGCTTTGAATTTGTTTTTTCTTCTCAGTGTTTTCCTTTAATCTGGCACTTAGTAAGGTTCTCAAGCACTTCTGGACTTCCTAACACGCCTGTTAGCAGAGTGCAATGACCATTGTCCACCCTCATTAGGAAAATAAGTTAGAACAGACTCAGGCCTGGGCCCAGACACCCCCGCCTTTGACTCTCGGTGCATCCTGTCTTTAGGAAGCGTCCAGTTGAGGAATCACAGATGTCTGCAGGGGCCACGCAGGTAACAACACTGAGTAAGGAGGGCTGGCTGCAGTAAAAACAACCGTGCATGCCTGGTGGTAAGCCACTCATGACTGAGTGACCTTGTCCTCTGCCCTTCTCTTCTCCCTGTGCTGATGCCACCTCTCTCTTGTCACCCTCCAGCCCACCACCTCCTCAACGCCGGACACCATGCCTCCATGGTTGCAGTGTTCCGATGGAGAGCGATTCAAAGTCGATGTGGAAATTGCCGAACAGTCTGTAACTGCCGAGACCATGCTGGAAGGTTTGGAAATGGATGAGGAAGGGGATGATGATGATGCGGCTCCTCTGCGAAGTGTGAATGCAGCAATAAAAAGGGGAGTCCGTGGGGCACCACCACCCAGAGGGCCTCCCTCACTTGAAGACAAGGAGAGGAAGGAAAAGCAGGCGGATGATATCCTTGTCCAGGACCAAGAATTTCCAAAAGCTGCCCAAGGAACACTCTTTGAAATTATTCCAGCTGCAAGCTGCTGAAACATTGAAGGCCATTGACAATCTGATCAAGGGGGAAACTCCAGAGGAGATTCCCAGGCCTTCAACATAACAAGTGAGCTTGCTGAAGACAAGGCAGCCCAGGCACACAGAGAGAACTCATGGTGGGAAGAGAAGAGAAGAAGTGCCTGACACTGCAACCTGGTAAAGATTGCTCCAAATATTAGTTGCATTGCTCTGTGTCTAATTGTTGATAGCAGGCAAACAGTAGACCAATGCAGCAGCAAATCTGTAGTTTTAGGAGAGTTTTTCTCTTAAGACTTGGACTAGGTCTTGCCATTCTCTTCCAGCCTGTAGGGTTTCTGATGAAGAGTTAGCCCTGAGTATAGTTGGAGATCCTCTGAAAGTCATCTGGCTTTTCTTCCATGCACATTTTAGAATCTTTTCTTCATGTTTTACTGTGGAGAGTTTGCAGTGTGTTGAGGGGAAGATCTTTTCTGGTCATGTCTATTAGGAGTTCTATGCACTTCCTGTACTTGGACGTCCCTTTCTTTCTCCCAATTGGGGAAGTTTTCTGTAATTATTTCACTAATAGGTCTTCTAGCCCATTCTCTCTTTCCAGACCTTCAGGAACTTCTAAGATCCATATGCTGGGTTGTTGATAGTGTCCCATAAATCTCCAACAGGTTTTCTAACTTCCTTTTTTTTTTTTTTTTTTTTTTTTTTGGTCAGGGTGTATGTTAGTAGGAAGCTAGATTGGAAGTGGAGGAGCCAGGACTCAAACCGGCACTCTAATAAGTTATGCAGGCATCCTAAGCAGCAGCTTAACCCACTGTACCACAACACCCAACCTCTAATATGATTGTCTCTGAAACTCATCTACTGGAATTTTTGCATGCAGATGCAGACCATAAACTTCCAAGTAGAGCCCTTGGAAGAGCTGCACCTTTTCCCATTACACCTTCTAGAAGAAACATTTTGGGAGCCGTCACTGTGGCGTAGCAGGTGAAGCTGCCACCTGTGATGCCTGCATCCTCTATGGGCACTGGCTTGTGTCCCAGCTCTTCCACTTCTTATGCAGCATCCTGCTGATGCACCTGGGAAAGCAGTGGAAGAGGACCAAGTACTCGGACCCCTGCCACCCACATGGGAGACCTAGAAGAAGCTCTTGGCTTTGGTCTGGGCCAGCACTGGCTGTTGCAGCCATCTGGGGAGTGAACCAGCAGATGGAAGATCTCTCTCTCTCTCTCTCTCTCTTGCTCTAACTCTGACTTTCAAATAAAAATAAAATAAATCCTTAAAAAAAAAAGGAAGAAAGATTTTGGGACTCCTTGAAGGGCTATTCTTTTCTTTACCTTCTTTCTTTCTTTCTTTCTTTCTTTCTTTCTTTCTTTCTTTCTTTCTTTCTTTCTTTCTTTCTTTCTTTTTGAGGGGCTATTCTATTCTTTCAAGCTAAATTCATGAGCCATTTAGGAAAATATTTTTATATTGTTTTAGAGTCACATCCTGGTTTTGATCTAAAATAGTAACACTCACCATTTTCACTATTAGCCAAATAATATTGCTAGTCCAAAACAAATCCATCAAAGAATGACTATTTATTTGTTTATACTGAGAAAGTGCACTCATGGAAAGCAATTCTGAAAGTGTATTAGCTGAGTGGGTCACTACTTAATTTAAATGTTTTAATGTGTTTATTTAGAGAATCTGGAAAGAGTGTGATTAATATATAATTCTATTTTTAAATGTGTATTTATGTGTAAAATAGCACAGAAGGGTACTTCCAAAAGTCCATGGAAAATGCATATCATGAAAAAAACCATGGATGGAATACAAAATTTTTTCTTGCATCAAAATAAACTTATCATTGAATTCCATTTCCCATGAAATTTCTGAAGAACTTTAAAAAAAAAAGATTTGTTTTTATTTATTTGAAATTCAGAGCTAACAGAGATAGAGGGAGAGCAAGAGAGCGAAAGCAAGCAAGCAAGAAAGAATCTTCCATCTTTAAATTTACTCCCCAAATTGCCACAACAGCCAGGGCTGGGCCAGACAAAGCCAGGAGCCAGGAGCTTCTTCCAGGTCTCCTACACGGGGACCTTTCACTGGCTGATTTACTCCACAAGTGACTGTAACAGCCAGTGCTGGCCAGTCATAAACCAAGAGCCAGGAACTCCATCTGGGTGTCTCATGTGGGTGACAGGGACCCAAGTACTTGAGCCATCATCTGCTGCCTTCCATGGTTCACATTAGTAAGAAGTTGGATCAGGAGCAAGGAGTAGCCGGGACTTGAACCAGGCAGTCCGTTATGGGGTGTGATGTCCTAATCCACGACTTACCACTGTGCTACAATACTCACCTCAAAGTTAGTGTTTAGAAAATATTCAGCTGAGGGGGCCAGGGCTGTGGTGTAGCAGGTAAAGCTGCATTCCATGTGGGCACCAGTTTGGGTTCCAGCTGCTCCACTCCCAATCCAGCTTCCTGGTTAGGGCCTGGGAAAACCAGTGGATGGCCCAAGTGTTGGGCCCCTGCCATCCACATGGGAGACCCAGAGGAAGCTCCTGGTTCCTGGCCTCAGCCTGGCCCAGCCCTGGCTGTTGCAGGCATTTGGAGAGTGTCCCAAAAGATAGAACATCTCCCTGTCTGTCTCTCTGTGTGTTGCTCTGCCTTTCAAATGGATGAAAATAAATAAACAAAAAAACTTTTTTCAAATCTACAAGATAATCTTAAAAGGCAGGCTTTGGGGTCAAGGGAAGAAGAAACAGTGTAAGGAAGGAGAATGGTGGTTAATTACCAGAAGCCTGCCTTAACAGATGCAAGGCAAATCTACATCATGGCTTCATTAGCATAAACCATGATGGAAGCCAACAGAGATGGTGTCACAGAGGCATTCAGGCAGGGAGCCCAAGAGGTGAGAAAGGCCCACGTAGTGAGCAGAGCATCTCCCTTGCAGGAGGCTGAGCTCTGCTCTCTGCTTGGAACTCTGAGGAAACTCTCTCTTGGGGCATCGCATGACCCCTGGGGGGCAGCCACGGCAGAGGGGACACGGCGGCGGATGTGTTCCCACCAAGAGCGGGAACTCAGATTGCTCTTCATTTCCTGGTGGCCAGGACAGCGGGCTGGTGAGCTGGCTGGGTGGCAGCTGATGCTACTGCAAGTTCACATGTGACCTTGCAGCCAAAGGAAGGGGAGACTGCCCCAGCCCCGTTCCAGGTGTGGCTGTAACAGTGGTCCCAGTGGCTCGCTCATATGGTTCCTGGGGCCAGCAAGGGTGGGCTGGATGTTCAGGGTGCAGGAGACGGTGCTGGGCTCTCCTGGAGCAGGGACAATGCAAGGTTGGGGTCAGAGGAGGCACCTAGGTGGGGATGTCACCCCTCGGCCCATGGTAGCCCACCTGGGCCCTGAGGGCCCTTGACTCTGAAGCCAGGCTCCCCCTTCAGCCAGACCTGACCTTGAAAAGGAGGAAGGGAAAGCATGCTGGGGAGGAAGGAAGCGACCCTGGCAGGAAAGCTCCACTTTGAACTAACTGATGACTTGGGGGAAACAGATTGTTGTAAACCGGAAGAGGCTGTTACCTTTCACTGGCACATTTGTTTCCCTCTCTCCCCAACTACCAGCAGGAGTGGGAGTGGGTGAGACCAGTTATGAAAATGAAATACGGAAACTGCCTTTTAAAAAACACCTGAGCCACGGCGTCTAGGGCCCCACCCGGCTGGGTGAGTGCATGATTATAATTCCCTCGAGTCCTGGGAAGGAACAGTCCCCAGTGCTTTGAACGCATTTAATCAGGGTTCACGGCATAGACTGGCGGGCGGCCCTCAGGAACAGCAGGAGAAGGAAGTGATGTTGCAGCTGAGACTCAGGAGAGCACAGCAGGTGCTGGGAGGAGGAGAAGGGCGGGAGCTGGGCTGGAGTCGCAGAAGCGCAGGTGAGTGGTCGCAGGTGAAGGGGCGTCTGAGGCCAGGCACCTGCTAATGCCTGCTGCCGGTTACCTAGTTACACAACTGTGCAGGTGATGCCACGTGCTCCTCTCTTCTGCAGGGGAAGACAACGACAGTCACCGCAACACAGAGTGGGTTTTCACAGCGTCCAGAGATGGTCTGAGGGGGAGTAGAGACGACAGGCCTGCAGAAACGCAAGGCAGCTGCTAGGCGCTTAGATCACGGCCACCCTGCCCACACCTGCCAACTCCCATGCCCCGCCCCCAGCTCCCAGGCGTTCCTGAGCCCTGCCAACCCTTGTCTCCCTCCAGCCCCCCCACCACAGCCTTCTGAAGGGCTAGCCCAGAAGCAGGGCTTTCCCTGGGGTGCTGAGCCGGAGGAAAGGAGCTGAGACACAGGCAGAGACCAGAGGATGGGGGCACCCACAAGCAGTGAGAGAGCAGATGGGGTGGAGCCCAGACAGCTGGCATCAGCTGCCCTCCCTCCTGCAGCCAGTGCTCAGTGCAGTTGCCTGGGCCATTAAAATTTTAAGCTTAGCTGACATTATTGTTTTTTCATTTAATTTTTACTTATTTTATTTATTTGCAAGACAAAGGAAAAGAGAGATCTCCCATCCACTGGTTCACTCCCCGAATGCCTGCAGGAGCGGGTGCTAGACCAGGCCAAGAACTCAGTCCAGGTATCAGTAGCAGGACTGGAGCCACCACCGGCCGCCTCCTAGGATGCACATTAGCAGGAAACTGGAGCCAGGAGTGAAACCCGGGAACTCTGCTATGGGACGCTTGTGTCCCGGGCGGTGTCCTAACTGCTGTGCCAAATGCCCTCTCCTATATTCTTTTAGCTGGGTTTGCTGCCCCTGCCCCAGTTGCCCTACACTCCTTGGAGAGAGCTTTTGTTATAAAACACATCAGATATTGTCTCTCCTCTGCAGGAAACCCTTTAATGGATCCCATTTTGCTATTAATGAAATCAGCATTCCTTTTAGGCTTGTAAGCCTGGCCCCTGCCTACCTGTGTCAGCTCGTCCCACTTGTTCCCCCCACCCAGGGCACCGTAGGTTCCCTGGTTGTCTCAGAGGTGCCCGCTTTCTCCTGCAGTTCCTTCTGAGCCTCCTTGTGCCTGGGTCCTTCTGTCACTCAGGTCTCAGCGCAGGCTCACTGGCTCAGGGAGGCCTGTCCTGAACACTGCCGCCTACAGCAGCACCCCTTCCAGGCCCTTTCCATCGCGCCGCCCTACTTACTTCTTTCAGGGCTCGGGCCATCTGACATTTTCCTACTTATTTAGTTTCTTGTTTCCTGTCCATATCAGAATTTAAATTCCTTGAGGTCAGGAACTTTTCCTGGAATAATGCTTGCTCCAGAGAAGGCACTCGATGAGTGGGCCTTTCACCGTGGATGGACCAAGGTAAGGGGATGACTCTGCACCACAAAGACTCCTTGTCATACGCCTGGGCATGATGGTGGCTATAACACAAAGAAAACATATGTGTGTGCACATGTGTATGTGTGTGGGGGAGTGCCTACCAAGAGGTGATGTGCTTTCTGCCTTCTGCCTGTGACAAACATAACAGAAACTCAAAAAGAAGTGCTGTGGTCCCATTAGAACATGCTGCTTTTGGTGGGGGAATTGAAAAAAATTTCCTGAGTCCAAATTTAGTTCAATGGTTTAATAACCTTGGGCATTTACTGCTGGGCAAAAGCACTGGGCATAAAAAGCTGAACAAGACTTGGTCCCTACCCCTGGTCCCTACCCTTGGGGAGCACACAAGTCTAGCAGAGGAGCTAGCCCCAGGAAAAGTGCTTGCCTCCTTTACCATGGTAACGAGAGGAGTAGCCAAGGTGGGGGGCTGTGCAGGAGAGTTCAGTGATAGTTTTGTCACAAGGTTGCTACGAAGACTAAATGGGTGACTACATGTGACTACTTAGCCTGGTGCCTGGATGTAGTCTGAGTTCAATAAATGTTAAATGATTATGATTATTCTCTGCAATCATCATTTCCAGTAGTTATTCTGGTGAACTAATTCTTTCTGGTGGTATTGTGGCTACCATTCCATTATGTACATGAGACATACTACCATAGAAGCAGTCACAATCACAGGGAGCTACTTGGTGTGATGGTTGTAACACAACTCAGGGAGATGAGGTTTGGGTGTCAAATGTAGCTGTGGCCTGGTAGGTGACCAGAAGATACAATAGAACCTCCTTTGCTATTAAGGACACCCATAGAACTAGGAAAGATGCAGTCAGCCTTAGAAACAGAGCTCTGGTGTTGTATTCCTAAATAGGTGATTGCATCAGCCTGAGAAGTAGGGTGGCTCAAAAGATTATGTCTGGCCGGTGCCGCGGCTCACTAGGTTAAGCCTCCGCCTGCGGCACTGGCACACCGGGTTCTAGTCCCGGTCGGGGCGCCAGATTCTGTCCTGGTTGCCCCTCTTCCAGGCCAGCTCTCTGCTGTGGCCAGGGAGTGCAGTGGAGGATGGCCCAAGTGCTTGGGCCCTGCACCCCATGGGAGACCAGGAGAAGCACCTGGCTCCTGCCTTCGGATCAGCGCGATGCACCAGCTGCAGCGCGCTGGCCGTGGTGGCCATTGGAGGGTGAACCAATGGCAAAAGGAAGACCTTTCTCTCTGTCTGTCTCTCTCTCACACTGTCCACTCTGCCTGTCAAAAAAAAAAAAAAAAAAAAAAGACTATGTCTATCACCAGCTTTGGATGAGGAGGATAGAAGCTAAAGGAAAAAGTCCTAGAAGGTATGAAAACACTGGACTCAAAGGCAGGAGCCCTGGTTCGCATTCTGGATGTGCCATTAGCTCTCTATGAACTTGACCAAGGCTTAAATTCTCTGTGTCTCAGTCATCTCTTTGTAGAATGAGAGGTCTGCCTGAGTCTCAAGGCATCTGTACTAGACTGTTTGCAAAGATGGCCACAATTTCTCCCCTCCCTGCCTGTTTTTTCCCCTTTGCTAAATAGTTTTGCTGTTTTTCCTAATAAGAAGCAGAATCTATTTCCTCTCCCTTTGCATATGGGCTAACCTTGTTAACTTGCTTTGAGTGAGAGAATGTAGTAGAAGTGACATCATTTTCACATCTAAGTATTAAGAGGTTTTGCAGTTTCCACTGTCACTCTCAGAATGATGCTGGTGGTGGTATGAATGAGCTAGTCTTGTTGAGACTGAAAGATCATTTGCAGAGAGAGGTTCAACCAGTAGCCAGCACCAACCATCAGACACGAGACTGAGGCTACCTTGGACCATCCAACCCCAGTTAAATTGCCAGATGAACACAGTCACATGAGTGACCCCCATAAAACCAGCAGAAGAAGCGCTCAGCTGAGCCCAATCAAAATTGCTGACCCCCTAGAACTATGAACAAATAAATGGCTGTTGCTTTAACACACGAAGTGGTGGTTTATCACATGCAAATGGATAGCTGATGCCAACCCTTTTATAGCTGACATTCTAGAAACTGATTTTATTGCTCTTACAAAGGAGTCAGGCCGTATAATCTTTTAGTTATGTGTTAGGGTTGGCTGCGGAATGGCTGGCTGGCAAGATCTGACTGGTTCTGCACGGAGAGGGGCTCACTCATTGCTCCTTTCTTGGCAACTTTCCTGTAGCATCTCACACATGCCTGTCTGGGCTTCCCTGGAGGTAGCCCCATGCTAAAGGCACAGAATTTCAAAGTTAGGGGAACTATTGATTGATTGGAGAGGCAGAGACACAGAGACAGAGAGATATGGGGGTCTGGTAGGAGAAAAGCCAGGAAGCCAGGAGTCACCTTGGGGTCTCCTATGGGGTGGCAGGGACCTAAGCACTTGAGCCATCACTTGCTGCCTCCCAGGGTCTGCATTTGCAGGAAGCTGGAGTTGAGAACCGGAGCTGGGTATTGAACACAGGCACTCCAGTATAGGACATGGGCACCCTAAGAGACGTCTTAACTACGGTACCAAACACCCACCGCAGAGGGAACTTTTAAGGCCCAGCGTGTTCACCTTTCTACTATTGTTCTTGTGACATGCATGAAGACACCAAGGCCTGAGACGTGAAGGAACAGAGGGAACCGGCGATAATGTTAGGCTCAAAGCTCAGGCCTCTTAGCTCCAAATCTGGAGCTCTGTACATTGCATCCAAAGACTCCTCCACTGCCCGCAGCCTCCTTCCTGACCCTTGAACTTGCACTCATCCCTTCCAGCTTTGTATTCCAGGCATGGGACTACTTTCCTCTTCTGATTCCAGGTCCACACATTACCTGAAGAATCCTGGCTTAGATAAATTCCAACCACCAAATGACAGTGGTTATCCTAACAGCAGCATATATTCAGAAAGTCTTTTTTTTTGTCATGTGCCCCTGATGGGCCAGCCTCTGCCTGGGTGTGGGGGCTACAGTGAAGACACATGTGAGGAGTTTACATTCCTGGGGAAGGCGGGCAGAGAACACACATGGGAATCAGAGCCTGGCATGATGAGAGGTAAGCAAGACAATGGAGCAGAGGTGACCAGGCTGGAGAATGTGGGATCAGGAATGGCCTGTTTGAGAATGTGACATTTGAGCTGAACCCTGATGGTGACAAATCAACAACCATTCAAGACAGGAAGGGAGCAACGGCCCTGAGGCAGGAATATACTTATCTGAGAAAGAGAGGTGAGGCATGCAGTGAGGAGACAGGTGGAGGCAGTGGCTACCTGACACGGAGCTAGGAATCTAGGTGTCTCAGTGGGCAGAGGATCAGGTTCTAAGAAATATGACAGATTTACTGAATTTGTTTAAAAAATTATTCAAAGAGTAGAAGGATGGAGAGAGACAGAAATAGATAGAATTCCTATCCACCAATTTACTACCCAAATGCCGGCAACAGTTAGGACTGGGCTGAGGCCAGAATCAGGAGGCAGGAATGCAATCCACGTCTCCCATATGAGTGGCAGGAACCCAATTACTGAGCCATCACCATCGCCCCCCAAGGTCTGCATTGGCAGGAACCTGGAATCAGGAGCCAGAATCCAGGAACTGAACCCAGGCACTCCAGTGTGAATGTTGGTGTCTTAACTGCTAGGCTAACTGCTTGCTCCCAAGATTTACATTTTTACAAAATATTTATCTATTTATTTGAAAGGCAGAGTGACAGAGAGAGGGGGAAGTAGAGAAAAATATCTTCCATCTGCTGATTCATCCGCTAGATGCCTGCAACAGCCAAGTCTATGCAAGGCCAAAGCCAAGAGCCAGGAACTCCATCTGAGTCTTCCACAAGGATGGCAGGGTCCCACGTACTTGGGCCATCATCTGCTGTCTTCCAGACACTTTAGCAGGAAGTGTGGAGTAGCCAGGATTCAAACTAGGCACCCTGACGTGGGATGTAGGCCTCTCCAGTGAGGCTTAACCCTCTGTGCCACAATACCACCCCAGAGTAACGTATTTTTAAAAAATCGCTCCAGCTGCTTGGATAGAGAAGGGAAGTTGAAGGTTGAGAGTGACATTGGGTGGTTTATTGAGTGCCACCGACACATGGGGCACTTTGTGCATTTTAGTTCTAATCCTCTCAACACTTCAAAATGTATCTCATTATACCTCTTCTGTGGCTAAGGAAATGGAGATTAGCAGGGGTTAGGAAACTTCCCCAAAGTTGAATTTGAACCTGGAACCATCTGTTCCCCTTGGTGACAGCCTGTCCCATGTAGTAGGTGGCCTTCCTAAGATGGTCAGCCAACCCCTGCGCTGATAAATTTTCCTGATTATCATTGTATTTTGAATTGTGAAATGTTAAAGCTTGAAGCTTCTAATGGCAAGTTCCTTGAAGAAAGGAGTGGTACCTTGCCATTTGGTTATGGCACCATCTCTGATGCATAGTAGGTGGTAATACAGTATCTGATCAGTGAATGAATGAATGAATGCATGAATGAAGGGGTTCCAATTGCGAGCATTTTCTGAACTGCTCCCCACCTCAGGCCCACCATTTTCAAATGAGAGCTCGCGTGTCTTTCTCAGAATCACTGTGGTCAAACCTGCGGTGCCAGTGCATGTACTTAGGGCAGAGTTCTTGTTTGACCTTCCATTTTGGTGTGGGAAACTCCTCGCATCGGGAACAGTGTCTATTTTGTATTTGTGCCGTGTCATGTTGGGAGTATGTGGAGCCTAGGAAGAGGTTCAACTTGGAAGTAAGTTTTCTCCCTGAAAATGAAATTAAACAAATTAAATCCACATGCTATGGGAAAAAACCAATGCCTTCTAGGCCTCCTGGAACAGCTAGTGAGCTGGAGTTTAATGTTCAAAGAAAGAGCATTTGAACAGAACAGGGTGTGGTCAGAAGGGAATGCAAAGAGAAAAACCATCTTGGCTTGACTGTCCAGGAGTATGGGGGTGGGAGCACTGGATGTGGGGAATTGGGCTTTCTGGCCTTCCGAGTGGACCCTGTATGAGGGGCAGAACAAATTGGTCCATTAAACCGCGTTGGGATCTGAAGGCAACAGCCCTGAAGACGTTGTCCTGATGACACGTTCATCGCTGAGCTCTGCCAATGTTAAGTTGGCTTCCTGGTTACCTTGGGACTCCTCCGGACAGCCTGGGAGTTGCAGGTGGTTCAGTCACTTTGGGAAAGGAATGTTCTCCTGACTTCTAAATAAATCTGCAAGTGACTTCAATCTTTGAAGAAGTTCCAAGCAAAAGGTATCACTGAGAATCTAGTCTTCAAAGTTAATAAAGAATCAAGACACCAACGTTGCTTTGAAGTTCTGGGTTTGCTAAAAACTGGATGAATGCTAAAACACAGTTAGCAAATTTATGATCTAGTTTAAACCATTGAGCCAATTGATGCTTTAAACAGGTTTTTGACAATTATTTATTTATTTTCTCGAAAGGCAGAGATTTACAGAGAGACAGAGAAAGATCTTACATCTGCTGGTTCACTCCAGTACTTGAGCCGTCATCTGCTCTCTCCCAGGGTGCACATTAGCAGGAAACTAGATCAGAAAGTAGAGTAGCAGGGACTCAACCGTGGACTCTGATATAGGATGTGGACATCCCAAGTGACAGCTTAACTGCTGTGCCACATGCATACCCCCAATTGATGCTTTCAACATACAACATGCAATTCTATAATTACAGGACCTATGAAAATATTAGTTCTGGGGCTGGCACTGTGGTGTGGCTGGTAAGGCCACCACCTGCAGTGCTAGCATCCCATATGGGTGCCGGTTTGAGTCCCAGCTACTCCATTTCTGATCCAGCTCTCTGCTATGGCCTGGGAAAGCATTAGAAGATGGCCCAAGTCCTTGGGCCCCTGCACCTGTGTGAGAGACCTGGAAGAAACTCCTGGCTTCTGGTTTTGAATTGGCACAGCTCCAGCCATTGTGGTCATCTTGGGAGAGAACCAATGGATGGAAGACATATCTCTCTCTCTCTTTCTCTCTCTCTCTGCTTCTCTGTAACTCTGCCTTTCAAATAAATAAATAAATCTTAAAAAAAAAAAAGAGAGAGAGAATATTAGTTCTTAATGCACTCCATTGTAGTGTGGTTGGAGGATGAGAGGTAGATTTGAAGATGTGTGATGAATGTCTTCTACTTTCTGTCTTGCCAGGCTATCTCTGTAACTACATGAATGAACGCATTGGGAGACTGTGTTAGAAGCAAACAAGAGGTCTTGTGCAATGAGGCCCAAGGTCCTATGGCCATGCTCAGAGGGTAGGTCCACTCTGCTTTCTAAACTTGTCACCTAAGGCTCAGACTGTCATCAAGGTGATGCTACCCTTGGGCAACCAGCAAACCAGCTTTCCCTGGTGACACTGGAATCTTGTCATGGGACTTCCTTAGACCACCACATCCCACTGTGCTAAGTGTAGAGTTAGCTGGCAGTGGACACAGTGAGTGCTCACTCAAGAAACTGGAGGGCTGACCGGATGATCAATCCAGTCAGTGGCAAACAAAGCTAGGACATTGAAAGTTACCTGTTGAACAGTCTGTTTTAGAAGACAGTTACGTAAAGGAGGCAGGAGCTTGCTTGGTGAGATGGTAGACATTGTGAAAGTGTTGGAGCATGTTAAGGACACTGGTCATACACTAGGCCAATTTTCCCAGTTAGCCTCACCTGGCTTCTGGGATCTCCTGTCTTCCATGGCCTGGTCCCACTAATACTCCTCAGTTTCTAACTTTCCAAACTGTGAGTCTTAAACTAGCATTCATGGGCCATGAAATCAGACTGTGGGTTGCAACCCAACAGAATAGGAAATATCCAGATATATCACACATTATCAACATTAAAGGCAAAGCAGAAAACTATTGTTCTGTGAAACTTATTTCAATTCTGTGTGTGTGTATTGAGTTTAAATGTCAGCTTCATTTTCTTTTTTTTTTAATAAAGATTTTATTTATATATTTGAAAGGTAGACTCAGGGAGAGGGAGAGACAGAAAGGCCTTCCATCCACTGGTTCACCCCAAACGGCCACAATGGCTGGAGCTGGGATGATCCGAAGCCAGGAGCCAGGAGCTTCTTCCAGGTCTCCCATGTGGGTGCAGGGGTCCAAGGACTTGGGCCATCTTCTACTGCATTCCCAGGCCATAGCAGAGAGCTGGATCAGAAGTGGAGCAGCCGGGACTCAAATTGGCACCCATATGGAATGCTGGCGCTGCAGGTGGAGGTTTATCCCACTATGCCACAGCGCTGGCCCCATCAGCTGCATTTTCTACCATGGGTTGAAGATAAAGTTTTCAGTCCTCTGCTCCAGGATGTGGCCTTCCAAGACTGTCTCTGTTCTCTGGTCTCAGACAAGAAGTAAGCTTTGTTTATGAGAGTTTCCAACCATGGTTACACATCAGATCTATGTGTACCAGGGCCTTATCCGTGGGAGTCTGCTGTTGAGCCCAGGAATCTGTATTTCCCCCCAAAGATTCACCCAGACAACCTCTCTCTTCATGAAGCTGTTGTAAAACTCTTATCTGTTAGGTCCCACTCAAACTCCACCTTCTCTAAGAAGCCTTCCACAGCATTATGCTTGAATTTCATGGCTTAGAGTTATTGATGTGGTTTGTTCCTCCATGTGTCCCATCTTGCTATCCATTACACCTGCTGGGACAGTCCTAATTTTTTTTTACTGAGTCAATTAGTCAATAATAAGAGGAATGATGGATAATAAAGCCTTTTTTATTTTTTAGAAAACATAGCGATTTATTTTCCTTAGGTTTGTTAAAACTTTAGTACAAAGTGATGCTATTGAGTTTTCTTTTTTTATAGAAAGCTTTTATTTGATAAATATAAATTTCTTAAGTACAACTTTTGGATAATAGTGGTTCTTCCACCCATACCTGCCCTCCCACCCCCAAACCATCTCACCTCCTACTTTCTCTCCCATCTCATTCTTCATAAAGATTCATTTTTAATTATCTTTATATACAGAATATAAACTCTATACTAAGTAAAGATTTCAACAGTTTGCACCCACACAGAAACACAAAGTATAAAGTGCTGTTTGAAGACTATTTTTACTGTTAATTCTCATAGTACAACACATTAAGGACAGAGGTCCTACATAGGGAGCAAGTGCACAGTGACTCCTGTTGTTGATTTAACAATTGACACTCTTATTTATGATGTCAGTGATCACCCGATGTTATTGTCATGGGCTGCCAAGGCTATGGAAGCCTCTTGAGTCCACAAACTCTGACCTTATCTAGACAGGGCCATAGTCAAAATGGAAGTTCTCTCCTCCCTTCAGAGAAAGGTACCTCCTTCTTTGATAGCGCCTTCTAATAAAGTCTTATAGATGATATTGTACAGTAATAAGTGAGACATGTGAATAACTACCAGGAGGGGGAATAATTAATGATATTTTGGAAGAATTAAAACTAAATCAAGTGGCTGATGCTGTGGTATAATGGGTTAAGCCGCCTTCTGCCATGCCGGCATCCAATGGGTGTCAGTTCAAATCTCGACTGCTCCACTTCCTGTCTAGCTCCCTTCTAATGTGTTTGTGAAAGCAGCAGAGGATGGCCCAAATGCCTGGGCCCCTGTACCCATGTGGAAGACCTGGATGAAACTCCTGGCTCCTGGCTTTGGCCTGGACTAGCCTCTGCCATTTGCAGCCATTGGAAGTGAACCAATGGATTAAAAAGCTCTCTCTCTCTCTCTGTCTCTCCCTCTCTGTGTAACTCTGACTGTCAAATAAATAGATAAATCTTTTTTCAAAAAAAATCTCGAGCTTCAGAATTTTTTAAATTAATTTATTTGAAAGGTGGCTGGCTTGCTCCCCAGACGCTTCCAGCGGAGCCAGGGGTTAAAGCTGGCAGTTGAGAACTCAGTCCAGTCTCCCACGTGGAGTGGCCGGGACTCCACGACTTGAGCCATCACTGCTGCCTCCTGGGGTCTGCATTAGCAAGAAGCTCGTGTCAGGAGCCAGAGTGGGACATTAAACCAGATACTCGGATATGGGACACGCCATCTTAACTGCAGGGCTAACCACCCCCAAGCTTCAGATTTTTAAATTTAAAAATCAATTAAAATTTAACACCTACCCCAAATCCACATTGTACCATTAAAAAGAAAGGGAGGGTAAAGAGATAACAGCAGGGTGCCACAACCAAACTTCGAGTCACTGCCGTAATCCACCCCCCAACACACCTGAGCACCCGTTGTTGTGCGCAGCCGCTCTCCCGCAAGTCACTTCCTAGGTGAGTGAAGCGAGTACATCCACAAAGGGACAAACAGCCTTGGGCCTTTTCCCTTTCTGTGTTGCTCAAGATTCCTGCACTAACAGCAGCTTTTTAAGTGTGTAGAACAAGAAAATGGAGTATTTTATCTCTTGTTTTGATCCTGGAAGGTGTTGGACAAGGCTGTGTCGGAAGCTGCGGTCTGGTTTTATCGGCCAGTATCAGACAGCCACAGGAAGCTCAGGAAACACCGGGAAGGACAGGATGTCACGCTGGACGTTCATGGCAGAGATGGGGAAGGGGTGCTGAGGGAGTTTCAAGACCAGCTCCTTAATGGTGGGAAAAGCCCAGGGGGTGGAGGCTGAAAGATCCCTGACATGTGAATGTGATTAGTAATTAGAGAGTGGTAAAGGAAGGCCTGCCACTGGGTCGGGGCCTGCAGCCGTGTGGTGGAGTGGCCGGAGCAAAGTCAAGGCTTCCAGGCACAAACAGTGGGAGGAAATCCGTCCTCCTCAGGAACCTGCATGCGTGGGTCCAGGGGCTTTGTGTGGGTGTGGCTGTTGGGGCTGGTGGTGGTGCTGGAGCCTCCAGAGAGTGTGGGTGCAAAGTTGAAAGAAAATGCTTCCTGCAAAACCTTAGGATACTCTGAGCCCAGGCCCGTCTTCCCTTTGGAGCCCAGTGCAGAGATGGGGAGAAGGCATTTTCGCCCCACGATGGCATGGATCCTGGTATTCCATGGAAGTCCGATACACAGCCTGGGTTGGGGGTAGAGCAGATATGGGGTTCCCACATGAGCAGGTAGACATTATCCAAGGTCCTAACTGGGGTATCTGTGGTCTTGGGGCTTCATGAGTACCCTTGGGCTAGTGAGGCCACCTTTGTAACCAATGATGGGGAGAAGAGAAAATGCTTCTGCAGGTTGCTCTGGCAACCACCGACTGGGGTTCAGAGGAGAAGGGTCTGGGGTGGTCTCATGCCATTCAACTAGCTTTGAATGAACCCATTTCTGTAGGCTGCTGTGGGTCCTCTAAGGATAGAAGATGCTGGGGTGGGATGAAGGGGAGCATCATCTTGCATCCCTTGTGCCAGTACTGTTCTTTAAGAGGGAGAGACTTCACAATGTCACCTTCATACCTCTCCTCACGGCAATATGTGTTTCTGGAGTAAATCCATGAATGCCTAAGGAGCAAAAATAATCACTAGAAAAAAATGTATAATGCCTCATAGTCTAAAAAGGGCCATTGAATAGGTTAATTGAGTTGTTCTCTAATAATATTGATCCTGTTTTACATTTGATACAACCAAGGAGCAGAGATACTAAGAGATTTATGGGCTCAAGGTCATACAAGTAAACGGGGTTGGAACTAGAATCCAAGGTTCTGGGGCAGGCGTTTGGCACAGTGGTTAAAATGCCTTTTGGGATGCCCATAACGCACACTGCAGTACCTCGGTTTGAGTCCCAGC